ATAATTTTAAATACTATCAAATAGGTACCCTAGAGACTCTAAACTAAAATTCAATTAGTCATTTTACAAAGGCTGTTAAATAAAAAAAGCAGTTATAATTATAGTAGGTGATAAGTATATTGAGATGTCAATCATGATCCCCAATCTCAGATCTAGGACAGAACGTATAGTAAAATGGTCATGACTTTTATGTCATAAGCATAAAAGAGTATCTGACAGACAAGGTCACAGACACAGATATATTTGAGATCAAAGAATAATTTCTAGTTCAATGCAACATCTCTCATTTTCATTCCAGGCCTCTACAGAATAAAAGATTGAGATTAATTCGACAAGCAAAAGACAAAAGGGAGAGAAGGAGAAAGGGAGAGAAACCCTAAAGGGAGCCCATCTTGGTAGTATTAAAAACATTTAAAATTATTTTTGAAATAAATAAGTGAAATCATTTATAAAGGCAAAAGCCAAATATTAATAATTATGTGAAGATCTTCAAATTACATTAAAATCTGAACCGAATGTAATATTCCAGCAATGGAGTATTTGTTTCATTCAATTAAATTTTTAGCAGGAGAAAGAAAAACTTTTTTGTTTAATCCTTGACGAAAGTATTTAAAAGTACATTCTATAAGTTGACATTTCTGCCTATGTAAAATGAAACAGTGTCTTGGGACATGGAGGAATAAAAATACGGTTCATATTCACGAAGAAATTATACTTTAGAGGAGAGAATGGCATCACGGATGATACTATAACAGCTACAAATGAAATGTGTACCAAGTACAGGGTAAAACATTCAGATATGAGGATAGAAGAAATATAAAAGTTCTAAGTCAATTAGAAAAGTCTTTCCAATGCAGATGATACTTGAGTTGACACAGTAAGAATGGGTAAGAGTTTGTGGAGTGGACAAGTGGGCAGAGAACTGTCTAAGCAGAGGGAAGAGAACATACGAAGGTGCAAAGATGCTCAGAGACCACAGTGTCTTTGAATTTCAGGGCACGGATGCAGAATGGTGGGAAAGGGTTTGAGCCCATTTGAGATGTCCTATGATATATCTTTATTTTAATCCATGACATTTTTAGTTATTAGTTTAGTTTTCCCATAGCATCCCTGTGAGCACTGGCTTTAATCTGCTTTATTTTCTGCCAATTTTTAAAAAGATTTTATTTATTTATTTATTTATTTACTTACTTACTTATTTACTTATTTATTTTTTTATTTATTTATTTGACAGAGTGAGAAAGACAGCACAAGCAGAGGGCGAGGGAGAAGCAGGCTCCCCACAGAGCAGGGAGTCTGATGCAAAACTTGTAGCCAGGACTCTGGGATCATGACCTGAACTGAAGGTAAACGCTCAACCAACTGAGCCACTCAGGAGCCCTGCCAGGTTTTACTAATAAGTAAGATATATAGAGAAAAGTATCGAGCTCACATTTATACAGCCCAGTGATTCCTCAGTTTGGGCACACCTGTGAAAACACCACCCAGACCAAGAAATACAGTATTACCCAACCAGAAGCCCCCATGCCACCTTCCAAGCACTAATAAACCCTCACCCCTGCTGGCCCCTCCAGCAAGTACATACTAGCCTGACTTCTAACACCATCAATAGTTTTACCTGTCTTTGAAATTTATATAAATGAAAACAGCACATATTCTTTTATGTCCACTTTCTTTCCTTCAAGGTATGTTTGTGAAATTCACTCATATCATATATAGCAACAGCTCGTTGGCGTACATTGTTGTGTAATACTCCCTTCGAGGAATGTATCACTATAAATGCATTCTTATCCACTGCAGTGTTGACAGATACCCTTGGATGGTTTTCAGTTTGTACCTATTATGAGCACTGGTATGTCGTTTGGAGAACATGTGTACTCGATTCTGTGGGGCTTGTACCCTAGAATGGATTTACTAGGTCAGTAGGTTGTACAAAGTACATGCACAAAGTTATACTCTGACCAGTAGTTTATGAGAGTTTCATTTGCTCTACACTCTAAAAAACCTGAAGTTTTGATTTTCATCTTTCTGCTGAACATGTAGCAGTTTCTCATTAGTGTGTTGATTCACATATCCTTGGTGACTAAGTTGGGGAGGTGCTCATATTTTCCTGTGATTTCTGGCCATTATCCTAATACTAAATGGCCTAAATTGTTTGGCATACTATTTTTAATGCACTTAGCAATATATCTTTGAGAAATAATCTTCTTCTCTCCTCTTTCCTTGTCTTCTACCCATCTTCATTTTTCAATTATCCTAACCTATTTGTCCACCCTCTCCTCCTTCTTACCCTCTATGTTTCCAATCCAAAAAGGTCAATGTCATGGGACGCCCGGGTGGCTCAGTGGTTGAGCGTCTGCCTTCAGCCCAGGGTGTGATCCTGGAGACCCAGGATCAAGTCCCACGTCAGGCTCCCTGCATGAAGTCTGCTTCTCCCTCTGCCTATGTCTCTGCCTCTCTCTCTCTCTCCCCCTCCGTCTCTCATGAATAAATAAGTGCAATCTTTTTTTTTTTTTAAAAGGTCAATGTCCCAGTAACTGTCTAGAGAGTTCAACAGATCAAAAACAACTTTGCATCTGAGACCTAGCCTTCTTACTTGAGGGCTGCAAAATGCTTGAGGGTGTTTGTCTGTTTATGAATGAAATAAGTAAGCATGCCTATTTATTTGAAAATAAATAAATCAGTCATAAAATTTTAAGAGGATAAATGTAAATGTCTCCTTTTGTTATAATTCATGAACAATGTGCTAAAGAAATATCCAAAGCATTTTAAAGAAATCTGTGAAACAAAATGGAAAAAAAATGGCATCTAATGAAAAAAGAGACCAATAAAAGGAGACAGATGCACAAGGGTGCTTCGTTTCCCTTTCCTTAAAGACCAAATGCAAGTCACACTGGGCAAAACTAAAGTAGCCATGACCTTTTCCCTCCTCTGCATGATTAATTACTTAATGTCCTATTAATTGGAAGACGTAGCTGAATTTCAAACACTTTCATTTTCTGTGCACATCACCCTGTACTGTAACTACCGATTAAGCTCTTCATCAAAGGTGAGCCAACAAGGTCACCTGAGCAATGTCTCTTCAGCGATTCATTATCCATCTTCAATGGCAATTAACAATGGTAACATTTCCATAAATCAACATCCTTCTGATTATTCTCTGATTATAAACAGTCAAAATGTGTGCATCCCAGCCTACCTCTTTTAATTTTATATGAAAAAAATTCTAAATATACCACAGAGAAAGCTCAGGTGAAATATTACAGGAGTTTGTTCAATTAAAATGTATGAAGAAAATAAGGTTATGCACCTTTGAAAGAGAAATACAAACTTATGCACAAAACTAAATGGGCCTGCTGGCACCACAGGGGGCAAAGATAAGAAGCAAAGGCTGTCAACCACCTAGTACCAAGGTATTCCTCTGGAGAGAAAATTACGGCTCAGTTCAGTTTCGGAGATGACCATTTGCCTACTCAGCCATAGAAGTTGACAATTTTAAATGGAAAGCAGATTTAATTCACCTTACCCTCAACACACACATTACAGGGTGCACCAATAAAAACTTTTCAAAGGATATAGTTACTGATTCATAATTCAGAAATGTAATTTTTTAGGTTTGGTTTGGCTTGTGTACCTGCGATCTGTTGTTGTTTATTGTTGATATTTTAAGCTGTTTAGCTCTTTTTTTTGTTTAGCTCTTTACATCAGATTAGTAAATTCAGAAATGCTATTGATAAAACGTGTTTCCTTGGTTCACTTGAATTTACATTTTCATCTCCAATGGCTAGTCTAAAATTTCATTTCTAAAATTCACTCATTACAGGAAGGTGTTTCTGAATTTGTAGAAAATTAATTATAAAGTGTTTTTAAAATGTCATCATAAAAGTACTGAAAACGTGTTAAAACAAATTATTACTAATAGGTAATCAGTTTATCAATTATATGTGATTATACATAATTACATAATGATTATATAGTACTGCATAGCATATTAACACATTACATTGTATATTATATATATACATGATTATATATAATGTATAGTTATAGGCTGCATTTATTTCTAAATATTGAAAGGAAAATAGTTCATGCTTTTTACTATTGTATTTTAATATTCATGTTAACATTTTTAATTTTAATTAATTTTAATTTAACTTATTAAATTTAATTTAGTAAGTTATTGCTAAACATACATATGCAGAGCTTGGAATTAGTTCCAAATTAATATGTAGACTTGAAGGCACATATATTATTCTAATACTACTAATAAATGATAGCATTATAAAATGATACGTATATATTGCTACTGTATATTAATGTGTTTTTCACAAGAAAAAATACAACTCAACCTGGCTTAACCAGTAAGAAGATGTATTATTTCACAAAACCAGAAATCAAAGGATATATGAAGGTCTAGGTAAAGAATGAACAGGACTTAGCCCTAGTTGTCTAAAATTTTCCCAGAAAAGACCTTCTTCTCCATTTGACAATTTTGTCTCCAGGCTGCCTTTCCTCAGAGCCAATTGCATGCTTGAGAGCAGAGCAACAATGAGATAAGCATTCTCCCCATCATGGAATATAAATCCTTCCTTTCAGTCTGTTTGGACTAAACCTGTGTAATTTAACTGAATAGGTTTCAAGTAAACTGATTCTACATTTTAGATTATTTTAAAAGGATTTTGCTTGTTCTGCTTTTATGCGTTTTTTTTTTCTTGGTTTTGTTTCCATTTTGCCTTTTTATTAAGTAAGAAAAAAACCATACAAATACTTTTATCTTTCCAGTCAGAGATAACAAAAACATAGTGAGCATTCTTGAAGAATACAGGATTATAGAAAAGTTTTTGAGGGAAAGGCAAAGACAACAATAAGGTTGTTGGATGTGGTCAAGTAGCTTGACTACAGTCATTGACTGTAACAAATTATTGTTACACCTAAAGTAAGAAAATGCTACAAATTCCACAGCCATTCCGCCAACACTGGGTCAACTGAACGATTCTCACCTTGAGGCATCTCAGGTGGCAGATAATGAGGTTCCTGGGCACTAACATGTACCCACTCAAAGTCATCATACAGATCCTGGTGGTAATCACAGGCCCCTGGACCATCATCAAAGGTACAGCCACCTAAAAGAAGAAAAGAAAGATTACTATTGCGTTCTACACAGGTTTGCTAATAATTGAGAATGTGCGGGAGAAGGAAAGATTTATACTGAATATACAATATGTCATTCTGGTTTGTTTTTTTAAGATTCTATTTATTTGACAGAGAGAGAGGGAGAACAAGCACAAGCAGGGGGAGCAGCAGAGGGAGAGGGAGAAGCAGGTTCCCTGCTGAGCAGGGGGCCCGATGCAGGGCTCCATCCCAAAAGCTTAACCCACTGAGTCACCCAGGTGCCCCATAACACGGCAATCAATGATAATTGATACTCTTGTATTTTACTATTCTTGTTAAATTTTCACATAAAATGAATTTCTCTTAGTGTCTGTTTGAATAGAAACCAGTTTGAGCCTCAAAAGGAATACAGAGGCACAGATTTTGAAAGATTAAATACAGTAGGAGATACTAAAATAGTGAAGCATTCCTGAAAAATACAAACCGTCTAAAGTCTAAAGAGATTTTAACAACCTCAGTGGGGAGAAGGGGGGGGAGGGGAAAAAGTAAAAATTATCCTTTTTTTTTTCAGAACACAAGTTCAAAAAGGTGAAGTTAATATTTAAGTCTTACCAAATACCTTGCTTGAAAAGCACACTTTGAAAGAACATTTCAAATAGCAAATGAAACATATAAAGCTTTATAGGGTCTACAAGTATTTGAGGTAAGTGATACAGTCTTTCATACTTTCATACACACTTATGACTTAAAAAGAGGAGAAAAACTAAAATGTAAAACTGATCAGATTAGCCTATAATCATTCTCACCACTTCCATTTTATTTAATAACTTTTTTCTTTAATAAATGAAGGTAGCCTCTCCTTTATATCAGTCTTTTTCCTGTTTGTTTTTTTCCCCCTGAGGGGTAATTTTATGACAGAAGTAGAATGATCACAAAACTCAGGCACACAAAACTCAACATACTTCGTTTATTCAGCTCATGAAAATAAGAACTGGTCTGTATGTCTAATCTTGAAAGAAAATGGATTAGAACTAATGAAAATTCAGCAGCGGGTTTAATGAGAAAAACCAATAACCTGTCTCCTTTCAAGTAACTTATTTGTTTAGTTTCCATGGGGATCTTTGAAAAGAAATTCAGTGAATTCTCTGACCAAACAGCAGACTATGGAATGGTAAACTTCTGGCCTATAAATTCTTCTCTGTAAACAAGAAACTCTTTTTTTTAAACAGAAATTTGTCAGCTTATATATGAATAGAAATTGCATTCCTCACCAATGACCGAGATAAGCCTGAATCACAGGCAAAGAAGGCAAGATCAGAGATGTTCAGATGACATTATGGCCCTAATAACCATTTCCCAAAGCAGAACATGTATGTGGACATCCTTGAATCATTCTTATGACTACATCAATCCTGTAACATAATCACACTTCAGCAGCTTAAAAGCTTAATAATGTCTCTTAAATCTGCCTAAAATAGCCTCTTTATATGCTTTCATGGAAAATGATGTACATCTTAATCAATGAAAAAAGGTTGCTAGGAAATGCATCTTCACATAGCAAGAGGAAAGTTTTTCTCAAAATATAATTTGCTATCACAAACCCAAAGTGACTTACTGCTTTGTAACACATGCGCTCAGGGGCCCCACTGCCCTTTATGACAGTGTGAGTGGACCCCGTATATAAATTTTAACTACCAATGGAACCTACATTGGCTCATTTGGAAGACAAATGACCTTAATTGCTGCCCTTCATAGCCACTGTTAATTTTAGACTCCAGGATTCTGATTAGCAATAACCACTAGATGTATCTGCACAAGAAAAGTGGGTCAACCCCTTCTATCTGTTGTTGCCTATCAATGCCATTATCATTCAAGAGTTTTGGAAATAGTTACTGGGTCCGTTTGACTTGACTGATAAGAAATTTTTTAAAAGATTTTTTTTATACTACAGCTCACAGTTAATTTTAATCTAAGAGGTACCATATATCTATTCACAGCACATAGGGCATATCAATAAATCTCTGATAAAAGATTTTTTAAGTCTTTTTGTATTTTATATTTCAAGGGTAAGTACTAATACTGCATACTGAACTAGATGACAGGAAACAAATAACTGTTCCTGGCCTGATAAACATGGGGAGATATTTATATATATACAAAACACACTATATATATAGCATTAAGAACAAGGTCATAAAGAACGCAAATGACAAATGAATTGGCTACTTACACTACGGTTGGTTAAAGAAGGCTCCATGTGTTTAGGCCTATATGAGTAAAGATAATGCTGGGCTAGAATGGAGATGGCACTAAAACTAAAAACAAAGCAAAAGCAAAGGCACGCAACTTTAAAGAAACATGAGATTGCAGGGGATATCTTAAATATCCTCAAGAATTTCTGGGTTATGGGGGATCCCTGGGTTTAGCGCCTGCCTTTGGCCCAGGGCGCGATCCTGGAGTCCCGGGATCAAGTCCTGTGTCGGGCTCCCTGCCTGGAGCCTGCTTCTCCCTCTGCCTGTGTCTCTGCCTCGCTCTCTCTCTCAATCTGTGTGTGTGTGTGTGTGTGTGTGTGTGTGTCTATCATGAATAAATAAATAAATAAATAAATAAATATTAAAAAAAAGAATTTCTGGGTTATGAACATGAAAAGTATGTAAGAGACAAGACAGAAACAAAACTAAATGTATTTTAGATATAAAATGCTTAGATTTTATTCCGCAGTTGTACTGAAGCCATTAAAGGATTTTATCCAGTTGTAGGACAAATCCAAGCCATGCTAAAAATAACAGATAACAGTAAGAGTAATAACAACTCTAGTAGTCATGTAGAGTTTATTTTTTTTAAGATTTATTTATTTATTTGCGATAGAGATAGAGAGAGAGAGAGGCAGAGACACACGAGGAGGGAGAAGCAGGCTCCGTGCAGGGAGCCCGACGTGGGACTCGATCCCGGGTCTCCAGGATCATGCCCTGGGCCAAAGGCAGGCAATAAAACTGCTGAGCCACCCAGGGATCCCCTGTCATGAAGAGTTTAAAGATGGAAAATGAAGGTAGAGTGTTTGGTTCAACCTTACAACAGATAACACGCAATACATCTTGAGCTAATCCCATTATAAACAGTCCCTGTTTACAGTTTTCAGCTCACTAGAAAGTCTTGCAACCAAGTCTTCTAACACATAGTCTTCTATAGACATGTTCCCAAGTTCAATATATCTTCAGGTATACATAGCATTAAGATCTGCTTAAAGGAGAAGTATCTTTGGAAGATTCTACTTCATAAAAACATAACTCATGAAGTCAAAGTTTCCCAGAGCTAGACGGCAGCATAAAAGGAGGCAAGATGTTCAAGAACTTTCGTGAGGTAGAGGGGATGAAAAATCAGCCAGGAAACCAGTTACATTTCAGTTGTTGTATCTGCCACCATCAAGATTACAAATGAGAATCCGCAAATCATGTCAGAGAAACAGCAATCGCTAGGTTCCTTGACCCTTGCAGGAAAATTACTTCTGAAGAGCCATTTCACAGATTGATAATTCCTTCATTCCAACCCACCAGCTAAGGGACAGATCAATCATTGCAGCGGGCTGCTTCCACTATGGCCATCCACCTGTGGGGCTTTGCAAACTGTGCATCCGAAGATAAAAATCAAGCTAATTTGGATTTGCCTGAATTTCTTTCCATTCCTAAGCCACTCACTGCAAGGAATGGTGTAGGAAACATTAATAGCCCAACCCCAAAACTGTATTGCCTAAACTTCCAGCATTTGGACTTTTGAGCATTTATCTAATAGACAAATGGCGGTAGACTCTATGAGAGAGCGTGGAAATAGAGACCCTTTCCGCAGAAACATGAAAGAAAGAATACTAAACTCAAAGCGTTTCTGAAGTCATTTTCAATAATCAGCGTTGGCTTAATTTTGAACAAAAATTGGAGAAAAATAAATTTCAAAATATTAAAAATAAATAAATTAAATTTTGAAAATACAATTTTAAAAACTGGAGAAAAATAAAAGTCAGTAGGGCCCTGGGCAGCTCTGAACATTCGGTAGAGGACGTTCTTTTAAAAGATACTGGACAAGGGGCGGTGGGATGGCTCAGTCACTTTAGCGACCAAGTCCTTATTTCAGCTCAGGTCATGATCTCAGGGTCCTGTGCTCAAGCCCCGAGTTGAGCTCCTTGCTCAGCAGGGAGTCTGCGTGAGGATTCTCTCTCCCAATTCCTCTGCCTCTCCTCATTCACTCTCGATCTCCCTCTTGCTCTCTCCCAAATAAATAAATTAAATAAATCTTAAAAAATAAAATAAATTAAAAGATATTGTACTAGGATATTCCACATACCCCCGTCCAGGGCACTTATGCAGTCTTAATTTCCTGACTGAATACAATAGCAAGAAACCTATAGAATTCTCTTTCATGGCTCTTTACTATATATAAAGAACAAGCTTCATTTAGTTGAAGATAGGGATTATTTTTCTTTATGTTTTCTTAAATAGTTTGGAATAACAAGGTTTTAAAAAGAGAAAGCCTTCGACAAAATATGTTGGCAAATACAATATCCTTAGTGCATCTGTTTTATGATCTTGAAAAATGGACATTATTAATCTAAACATTAATAGCCCAACCCCAAAACTGTATTGCCTAAACTTCCAGCATTTGGACTTTTGAGCATTTATCTAATAGACAAATGGCAGTAGACTCTATGAGAGAGCGTGGAAATAGAGACCCTTTCCGCAGAAACATGAAAGAAAGAATACTAAACTCAAAGCCTTTCTGAAGTCATTTTCAATAATCAGCGTTGGCTTAATTTTGAACAAAAATTGGAGAAAAATAAATTTCAAAATATTAAAAATAAATAAATTAAATTTTGAAAATACAATTTTAAAAACTGGAGAAAAATAAAAGTCAGTAGGGCCCTGGGCAGCTCTGAACATTCGGTAGAGGACGTTCTTTTAAAAGATACTGGACAAGGGGCGGTGGGATGGCTCAGTCACTTTAGCGACCAAGTCCTTATTTC